GAGCCTAGAGGTTGCATGTGTAATAGTTAAAAGCAAATGCGAACCAGGTGGCCTGGGCTGGAGTTGCAGTTCGGCCACATAACTGGCTGTGTGACCTTGGGCAAATGTCTTTGTAAGAGGATGATAATATGTATTTCATAGGACTGGAAAATACGTTCTGTTTGTAACATGCTGAGGATACTGCTGAGCACAAAGTAAGAGGGGACTCTATGAAAGTATGTTAAATAAATAAGAATACACTGAACTGAGGGATTAGGACTCTAGATCTTATGCAGATCATATCCTCCTTTTCAACAACAATTTGTGATATTCTCTTTACTGCCCTGGAATGAAACTCATAGACAATATAAAGTTCCTAATCACATAACCTTTAGAAATTGTTATATTACCCTAATAGTGGGATAAAGGAGAATTTTTTTTTAATGTGTTTCACTATGTAACTGCTTAGGGACAGTGACACTAGGAGACACACTAACCCTCACTGCTACAGCTGGCAGAGGCTCTGTGAATGTCGCCCTGAAATGCAGAGCGACAGTCACTACCACAGATCTGCKCCCCAGGCAGCACTGCCCACTGGGACCGACTTTCTGAATCCCCAACCAATTCTGAAGGAAACAGGAAAAAAAAAAAAAAAACTCTCATTTATTGAAACCGTGAAAAACAAAACAAAAAAAAAATTGTGCTTATGATAAAATCAAAGTTAGGTTCTAGGCTTAGGGACACACTTTTCACCCCCGTGTCCTTTGAAAGTCATATAGGACACAAGGCAGAGCTTTATCGTGTAGTTTTCCCCAAACATCTGTGATTGGCTTCTGACCATCCAGTATTTCCAGATCAATTTGACAACCAAAGACAGGCCTCCAGATTTTCATGATGTCTGGGGGCTTGGCCCACCCTGTTGAGAACTGCCTGGCTGTGGGTGGTGAGTGGAGGCAGGCTCCTTGCTGGGGAGGGACTGTTCCCGCTTGCCACTTAGGAAGACCTCCCTGGCTGTAGCTAAGACTGGGGGACCACAGGTTGCTGGGCCCCATCCTGAGTTTCTTTCTGACCCAGTGGGTTCTAACAAGTTCCAGATAATCCGCGCTAATCTGTGTTGATCTGTGCCACAGATGCAGGGATCTTGGCCTGGGAGCCACAGGTAGTCAGKATCGAGTGCCAGCTCTGGGTCCCTGACAGCCTGGCTGCAGCTCACCCTTCTGACYGACTCACCGTGCCTGAGCACTTGCCCTTCCCTGATAATAGTGCACAGAGGGGTTAATCTTCTTCTCAGGTGCCATTTCACTTTCCTTCTCCACTTGTTGAACACCTGCTCATCCGTTTCTCAGAACCAAAGTAGCTGAGGTCACAACTTTTTGAAAGGCTCTGTCCCTCCCATCACAGTCAACATTCATAATCCTTCTTTAAAAGATGAATCCCATTTCCATTCAATCATCCGTTTGTTAATTTGTTTAGCAATGACTGAGTCATGTAGTCCTTGCCCTTTAGACCAAGAGAAGAGAAGACCTTTAAAAAATTACCTTCAGAGCAAGGCATCGTGGAACTGAAGCGGAGTGGGGTTTATGGGAATCCTTTATTTTGGTGGAATGAGTGAATTGCATGTGGGGAGAGCACTCACAAAACAGAAGTGGGTGGCGAAGCTGGCCRGAAGGCAGCTGTTGTTTCTTGCTGCCCGTTTCTCCTCTCTCCTGTCTGTCCCCTTGATACCACCCATCCTGGCTCATCACACATGTCTCCATGCTCTGATCCCAAGCCTGGGAAGGAAATGTCCAGCTTCAGAAAGCAAGGGCCATTCCTGCCAATGATGGGAGCTGTTCAACTCCTGGAATGAGCTGGAGTGTTCTCTCGTGGATGGGGCATGGCTGCAAGCTACCCTGGCCCTTCTTCCTGCCTCTTGTTGGGTTCTTTTTTTTTTCTTCCTACTTAATCACTATCGGGGATTAATTAAGTTTCAGTCCTGGGCATCTCTCACCTCTGCATTTATTGCTTCGCGAAAGCCATACACGGACACAGCCAAGTCCGGGGTTTCTCAGGCTTTCACACCTGTCTGAGTCACTGGGGCATCTTGTTAAAAATGCAGATTCTGACTTAGCGGGCAAAAGAGTCTGCCTTTGTGACAAGCTCCTACTTGATTTCATGCTGCTGCTCTGTGGCAGCACTTTCAGAGGCACAGGTGCCACTGAGGTTGGACAGTTTCCATCCAGTGGTGGAGCTTTGCACTTGACACCAGGCACAGAAACCAAAGGGAATGAGCATACCTAAAAAWTCACTGTTTTTATACACCAGGACTTATGCTCAACTCTTTCTGTGGACTTATTGCTTTGAATCTGTACAGTGCTCCTAAGGAGCCAGACTGCTGTTATTGCTCTTGTTTTGCAGAAGGAAACACCTCCAGGCCTTCGGGGGGCTGGGCTCTCCAAACCGTGGAGGGAGGCGAGGCACAGACGCTCACTGCCCAGGGCAGTGCTGTGACAGGGCACAGGAGTGTTTGCTAATTAGCTGTGGAGCCTCCAGTCTCCCCTGGGCCTCTGGAAAGATCCTCCCTGCCCTTGAGAAGTGGGAGGAAATTCCGAAGTGGAGGCTAAGAGCTGCCCCCTTGCCCACCTGTCAGGCACGCGCCCAATTTCAAAAGTGCCTCTCTTTTTCAAGCCTCTCAACACTTCACAATATTTTGACATGGGAAGGGGAAAAAAAAAATGGAAATGCTTTGAAACACGTCTCTTCCTTGGATTCTCGATCTCAGGCCATGTGACCGAATTGAAGTTTAGTCGTAGGATTCCAGTGTAACATATGCAGTTACTATGGCAATGAAGGTTTCCTTAGTAACAGTTGCAAAAAATAATCTGGCCCCAATTAATAATACATTTTTAAAGCTCTTTCTGCTCTACCCTGAAGAACCCACCTTTTTTTTTTTTGGCCAAGAACCAGATAATTCAGGTGGTGTCATTTGCACGGATAGAGGTATCATTGGCGTGCGGTGAATTGGGTTGGAAAGGAAAGAAAAGGGAGCCGGTTGCATCAAGCACTATGGGAATCCCCTCTGAAAAGTCAACTGGTGAGCCAGTGCGAGTCCAGTGTCCAAGGCTGGGGAGCTTGGTGGTAAACCCTTCCCCGAATTCCTAGCACGCCCTTAGGGGACTTAGGAAGAAGGGAGAAGGCCGAGGACTGGACTTGTTAGCAAAAATGATGAAATGGGGCCATGGGTCGAGGGATTTCTCTCAAGTTGCTGTGTTCTGGGTGTGAATCCCACCTCTTTGCATAAAGAGAAAGTCTGACGTAGCACCAGGAGGCGTGTCCTCAGAGATGCTGTTGTAGTAATGGTGCTGGGGTTGGGGTACTGCCGCACCTTGGCTTGTTAAAACTTTCCACCCATTCAGGACCTTTCCTGTGTGGTTCCAGGGGACCAAGTGGCCATCTGAGGCCTTTGATTCCTTTACACAAGGCACTCAATCCTTGCCACTGTCTTTGCATACTTAGAGCTGACTGGAGCTGGCAGAGGGCCCCAGGGTCCCRCCCGCTCAGTCCCGTGTCTGGTTGTGCTTGCTGCTCCTGCAGCCGGACTCTGGCCTGAGGAAACAAGAGCCTGCCCAGCAAAGTACTGGAGACGGGCCAGGGCAGATCTGCCCTGCTCCTTCCCTCCCGGCTAAGCAGCCCAGTTGGAGGAAGCCCTCTCTACTTTCCCTGTGTGGGGTCTGTACCTTGCCCCGGGTTTTTCTCTCAGCTGGCAAGTGGCCAAAACTCAAAGCGTAAAGAAGTGTAAAGAGAGGAGTGGGGTAGAAGGCGGCTCTTACTCCCGGTTCCCTAAGACAAACTTGGGATTGTTTCTTCTCAGTAGGGAGGAGGAAGGTGGGTAGGAGGAATCAGAGCCAAGTGTAATCACGATGGAGTGGGTGAGAGCTCACATTACTTTCATAAGATATATTTKGTTAGACGTTGGCTTCGTGCCACCGAAAAGGTGAACATGGTTGATCATTAGCAGCTGGGGTGGCACTCTGGAGTCTGGCCTTCCTGCTGTTTTTGGAACAGGGGAAGGGGACACCGGAGTCGGCTCCGCTCTCCCTTGCTGCCGTCATCTTCCCAGCCTTCTCCCCTCCCCCCGCCCCACGGAGGTCCCTGCAGCACATTGGCATCGTGTGCTGCCTTGTTCTCTCGCCCACCTGAGTGGGCCAACACTCTGAGCGCTCTCTGAAGGCTGGGCACTGTGCTAGGCCCTGGGCTGTGGCCATGAGGACATCCACTAGCAGAACTCTATGGGGCTGGGACTCTGTCTTGTCCTTCAGGGCGTCCCCAGGACTTGGCCTGTGGGAAACGGTGGGTGCTCAGGAACATCGGCTGGTTGAGTGAAAAAAGACTTGGTCGGTCCCCTCAGGTGCCCACAGTCTAGGATCAAAGAAAGACGAAAGGAAAAACAGCCTGGGGTCTTTATAGAGGGCTGAGCAAGGGCACCTGACCAGGTGGAGGGACAGGAAGGAGGAAGGAGGGCCAGAAGATGAGTGGAGAAGGGTCAGGGTGGGGAGGTGGCGGAGGAGCTAGGCAGAGAGGACAGAGGCCAGAGCTCAGGGGGAAACTGCACGGGACCATGGAGGGTGTTTGGGGCTAAGTTGTGGACATGAGTCAGGACAGCTGGACAGAGGCCAGGTCTCAAAGAGGCTCTGCGCTGGGAAAAGGAATGGTTTTCTTTAGAACCCCTAGGCAACTGGGAGCCGTTAAACTTCATCACGAGAGGCCGGATGGGGTCAGGTTTGTGTTTTAGCTACAGGGTCCTGGAGGGCAGGGGAGACAGCGGGGACCGGGGGAGGTGGTGRATGTCTAGTTCAGGGGTGTGGCAAGGAGAAGTGGATGGAGGGGTGTCCTCATACTGAGCCACGTCTTGGAGGGAGCCTGTTTGTGTCTGCTAGGAGCAGTGCTGGACAGAGGCAGGCCCTGAGCCTGAGGGTTAGAGTGGGCCATGTTTCCAGGAGGGGGTGTGGCGATTTTCCTGAACTGCTCCCTCTCCTTCACAGTGACAAAGCTGCAGGTGAGCAAATCCAAGAGAACCCTCACCCTGGTGGAGAACAGGCCCATTCAGCTGAACTGCTCCGTCAAGTCTCAGACCAGCCAGAACTCGCACTTCGCCGTGCTCTGGTACGTCCACAAGCCCTCGGACGCCGACGGCAAGCTCATCCTCAAGACCACCCACAGCTCCGCCTTCGAGTACGGCACCTATGCCGAGGAGGAGGGCCTGCGAGCCCGGCTGCAGTTTGAGAGGCACGTGTCTGGGGGCCTGTTCAGCCTCACTGTCCAGAGAGCGGAGGTCAGCGACAGCGGCAGCTACTATTGCCACGTCGAGGAGTGGCTGCTGAGCCCCAACTACGCCTGGTACAAGCTGGCCGAGGAGGTGTCGGGACGCACAGAAGTCACCGTGAAGCAGCCAGGTGAGGGCGGACGGTGTGACCTTCCTGGGCCAGTGGGTTTCCAGCACAGGCTGCCCGGGGCCAGCCAGGGCTCTGCGGGGCCCTGGGGAGAGGTGGTCCAGAGTGGGCACTGCTACACAGACCATCATGCTGGTGCCCAGAGGTCCTTCTGCTCTGCTCAGTGGGTCCTGAATCCTCAGCTCTTCTCCTGCAGGTGCCATCTTCACCGGGAGTGCTGAGGGGTGGCTGAGTCCGGTCCATAGAATAAGGCTGCAGTTTCTAGGGCAGACTGCATTTGCCTTGGGCTAGCAATGGCTCCACCCGCCCACTTCCTGCCTTGAAGCGTTCCCTGGGCTCCCTCCCCTTCTTCCTGACCTCCCATCTCAGCCCAGGCAGGACCTTGCCGTCTCAGCCCTCCTTCCCCTCTCAGCCCCAGGCCCTTAGCCTGCCCCCTGCCACGCACCCAGGAGAGGGGGCTGCCTGCCTTGGCAAGCCTGGGCTCCACTTTGGGGCAGCCTCGATCTGTCCCTGGAACAACCCAAGGTAAGCCAGGGTCGTCTCCTTCTGCAGGAAGGCTGCACCTTGCCGTCTCCCTTCTCTTGGTTAAGGAGCCCCTTCAACTCTCTGCAGGGCCTTTGCTGAGGCCGTTCCTCAGCACCTCCTCCATGAAGTCTACTCTGATTTCTCCTGTATTGCTRAGAGTGCCTTAACACATGGTATAATAATCACCCGCATTTCTTCTGTACTAGAATATACATATGAAGGAAGGGTTCTTGTTATATCTTTAGCCACCAGCATGGCATCCTTCGTGAATACTGGTTCARTCAGGAACAAATGGTTGATTTAATCCTTGAACACCACAGAGCTTTGTTCCACCCTTCCTCTGCAAGGTGTTGCTGGCTTATTTTAAGTTAAAGAGCACCCTAGAAGTCTTTCCCATTCCCTTTATAGTACATTTCAGCACCTGGCATTCCACTCGCTTRCTTATTCTCAGGTAAGTAATTATGAAGCACTTACTCATGTTTGTGCTCATGTTCACTCATTCCAGCTACTATGTATTACTTATTCATTATTTACATATCCACATACACACATATATATTTGTTGGAGCTCCCTGAATGAGCCCAGGGACTTGGTTTTCTTCACCTGGCTTGACTCCCAGGAGACCTCGGTGCATATTGTGGAGTGGAAGCCAGGGGGCCCAGATGCCCTGGTCCCCATGTGGCTCAGCCAGTGCTGAGTACAGTGGTGGCCGTGGTGCATCCTCTGCTAGCCTTGTGCTGATGCGCTACCAGGAAGCCCTGCTCTGCGGCGGCTCCAGTGACCTGCATCCCAACCGCAGACGGTCCTTGGGCCGCCAATGCGCTCTGGGTCCCTTTCTCTGTACTTTCTCAGCTGGGAGAATGTCACCCCTGTCCCCTGCCCTTCCACTCCAGCCACCATGTCCTTTCCCTTTCCTCATTTATTCTGAAACCAAGAGACCCTCAGTGCCTCCTAAATTTGTCAAGGGAATACCCCCAGCTGAGGCTGCCGTCAAGCTAAGCAGGGCAGTGCCAAAGGACAGCATGGATCCCTGTCCACACGTTTAGTGACAGCTCTGTCACAGGGAGTTTCAAATCTGTAAGCAGAAAACTCACAGGACACACACTGAAGCAGCTTCCCCCCTTATATCAATTGAGATTTGGGGTTCATTTCTATTTCTTTTTTTTTTTTCCTCTTTAGAAAGTATATACTTACAGAGCTTTTGGGAAATACAAAGTAAACAAACAAAATCCCACCATGAAAAAAATAATAACCTTGCAACCCAAAAGATAACCAGAGGTGGCTTCTTCTTACGTGTATGTTTTGGGAAGCTGGCTATTTCAAGTGTATGTTCGGTTTTTTAAACTTTTAAATTAAAACAGCGATCCTGAGCACTGTAAAACATTCAGGCAGGTCATACTGAAGTGTGACGTACCGAGTCCCAGGGTGAGGCCCCCTTCCCGTCCCCTCCTGTCACCCGGGGGATGCTCCCCAGGTGCCTCTGTGTGTTTACAGTGCTGTAGCTTTTAGATGCCTCTGGTCCAGGGAGGCTCATTAGGGCCCTTTATGAAATTACAGGCCTGCTATCAGTGTGTGCCACTGTTAATGACACTCTTTCACTGGAGGAGCCTCTCGTTAGTGAGCTTTCAAACCGTCGGGTCCCATCACGATCAATCTTTTCTTTACTGATGTCAGATCCGTTCTCTTCCCACCTTGAGAGGGAGGCGATGATGAGGGAGCACGTGAGCTTATTATACTGGGGGTCCTCTGCAGTCTTTTATGATTGACACCCAGCCTTGTCCAGCCATCATCTGGTCAGTTTCCGAGGTTGACTCTTGTGCAAGAGGGGTTCTCCCCGTGCCCTTGCCTTCCCCTTCCCGGCYACCCCATCAGGCAGCCGCACCCCTTGTGATCTGTCGTCCTGTGGATGTGTCGTCTCCTGCACCTTGTGTTGCCCTCCCGCAAGCCTCTGAAYCCTCGAGGGTGATGTACTGGGGGCAGTTGCTTCTAGAACACTGGGGGACTGGAAACTCAGGTCCTCTGTTCACATGATCCAGAAGCTCAGTGTTTAGAGAACGGTGTCTGCCCAGCGAGCCTGAGCTGCTGTCCTGTACTTGGAGGGCACCCGTTCACCTCTCCTGGGAGAGGGTGCCTGTGTGGTGACATCTCTTTCCTCTCTGATCCAGACAGCCGCCTGAGGCTCAGCCAAGCCCACGGGAATCTGTCAGTTCTGGAGACCAGGCAGGTGCAGCTGGAGTGCGTCGTCCTGAACCGCACCAGCGTGGCCTCGCAGCTGGTGGTGGAGTGGTTTGTGTGGAAGCCCAATCACCCGGAGCGGGAGACCGTGGCCCGCCTGAGCCGWGAGGCCACCTTCCACTACGGAGAGCAGGCAGCCAAAAACAACCTGCAGGGGCGGCTGCACCTGGAGAGCCCCTCCCCTGGCGTGTACCGACTCTTCATCCAGAACGTGGCGGTGCAGGACAGCGGGACCTACAGCTGCCGCGTGGAGGAGTGGCTGCCCAGCCCCAGCGGCCTGTGGTACAAGAGGGCCGAGGACACTGCCGGACAGACTGCAGTTACGGTCATGAGACCAGGTGAGGGTGATGTCCCTTTGAAGTGTCCCCTTTAGGTACGATATTTCATACGATGAATAAGATTATTTTCAAATTACATTCAGTTAAGTATAGRCACGTTTACATTATACGTCTGTTTTCAAGATTGTCTCAGGGTTCTTTTTCCTTGTGAGTGGAGAATTGCACATCGGCATTCGGCCTAAGGTGATTTGATTTCTTAATGAGAATGARATGGCAATTCCTTATTGCAGGGTATGGAATMAAAAAAAACGTGCATTCAGATCTGGACAAGTGGTTGAGATCACGAAAGAATTTTGAAACGACAACCGGGTGGTTCAAAAAGTTAAGCTGGTCGATTTTCAGTGGAAAGGAATCGATTCTTTAAATAGAAATCTCTAACCACCTGCAGCCTCCACTCTCGCATCCTAATAATTCTGTTGGTTCTAATGACTAGTCCGTGTGACCTTTGGCTTCTCCTGTCTGTTGCTGTTTCTGAAACACCTAAATACTTATAATTACTGGGTGTGATAATTGTCACACACTTAAGCACACAATCAAAGCTGAGTTGTGCAGATTCCCTGTGTATTTTTCAACATTGCACCGTCATTCATCCACATCAGGGCAAAAAGTCAGCGGTTCCCAGGAGGAAATGGAGCAGAAGTGAACTCACCTCCGTCAGTGTGAGCAGCTTGTATCCTCTGGGCACTCTGCTGTTCACATTTGTGGTTTGGCCCCGTTGGAAGTCTTGGTCAGGTTTTCCTGTTCGRCGGAGCTGCTCCTTCCCTTGGTGGCACATAGGAGCCTCCCGAGTCCGCTGTGCCCATTCATCATAGAACATGCTTCAGGGAGGCGAAGTGCCCTTGTTACAGGACAGGGACATTTTCTCACTTGCCTGTGTCTTCCCGAAGTTGGAGGGGAAGTCGCCTCTACTTGAGTTCCATTTCCTTGGAGTTGTTTTGTTTTTTCTACGTAGTTTTCTGCATTTGTCCTCATCTAGAGACTAGTCTCTCCTGACGGGAAGACTGTAGAATGTGGCAGCAGAACGCCCTTCTCCCCCAGCTCCCACCCATTTTACAGATCGCCATCCTCACGCCCCTGCGTGGACAGGAGGAGACAGGCATTCCTGGAGTAGGAGCTGCACCCTGCCACAATCAGGAAGCATTCAGTCCTCCCCCAACCCTGCCCTGTAGATTTTACTGACCTGGCAGAAAGGAATTGCAGCCCAGCCAGGAAGAGCAGAAGAGGTGCCCACCTGCTTTCCTCCACCGCATTGTGTGCTACCAGCACAGCCCTGATSACCCCGTGACCTGTGACCCTGTGACCCTGCAAATGGCCTCCTTCCCCCTGGCTGTCCCTGATTGTGTAAGTCATGCTAATTGCRAAACACACTGAAAACAGAACGATGTAGAAAAGTCACTTGTCACCTCACTACCTGGAATACCTCCTGTTAATAATTTGGTGTATTTTTTGGTTTTGGGGGGAGTTGGTTGGTGGGTTTTGGTCTTGTGTCTTCCTATCCTCACTGACTCTGGCTCTGAAGGACATCAAGATCTCACTGTCCTTAAGAAGTGTTTTTTCCTACCCTCTCAACGTTCTTGGGTGAGCGTGTCCTAGAAAGCATTTCCTAGCCACGGGTTTTGCTGCTGTGCAGCGTTCATCATGAGGATGTTCTCCAAAGGCTTGTTTTGAGCTCTATGTTGAGCATCTGGAAGGCTCAAAATAAATGGCTCTCTGAGAGCTGTGCTCACAGTGGTTTTGGGGGGGGGGACTAGAGCCTGCCATCCTCCATGCATGGGATCTGTGAGGTGATCTGTGATCTCTGATGGATCTCTGATGGCTCCTGCCCTCAGCGAGGTGGTTGTTGAGAAGGTCAGATGCTGTGCTTGACGTGCAGAACCAGGGAGGAGGGAAAAACCACGTTCATCACACACACAGGCCAGAGGTGGAGGTCCAGGTGACAGCCAGGGAGCAGTGGGCTTGAGATGGAGGGGACGGGCTGAGATGAATYGCTCTCTTGGGTCTTATCCTGGGGAACGTGTGGAAGTCAGCATGAGGGGGGAAGGGTTGGCCTGATTTAGAAGGGACAGACACAGGGATCCAAACTGGTAAAGAAGCATGTTAAGGGGCGGGGGGGGGTGGGTTGTGGAAAGGTCAAAGTTAACTTCATTCCAGAAACTTGTGTGGAGTCACGAACGCACGCAAGGTATTCCAAAGGATCACGCAGAAGAGAAGGGAGCAGAGGGAGGGTCAGTGGGGAAGAGGACCCCAGGAAACGAAATGCCTGATGGTCTCTCTCCACCTGGCCACCTGGCCGTGCTGGGCACTATCACACGTCACCACTCCTTTGACACCACACAGTTGCCCGGAGCTTTGGAATGCCATATCGGATGCCAGAGGTTAAGAAGCTCCAGGGCACCCTTGGTCTGGGGGGGGGGTAGCTTTCTAATGGCTCCGAGATGACATTTTTGCCGTCCTCTCTGAAAAGAAGCTGCTGAGTCGTGTGAGTGGAGTCACCTGTGGACTGATGTTCTCCACCCTGACGGTGTCTGTTCTCGACCACATTCTCCTCCTAAGATCGGGGCTGATGCGCGGTGCCCACCACCTGTAGCCGTTCACGAAACCTTTGTGGGCTCACGGTGCACACTGAGATCCCAGGTGGGCCCGGAAGATGTGGAGGGGCCTGGCAGAGCCCCACCGAAGCAGTCAGCAGCCCAGCTTCGTGTTCACCTGCAAGTGACATTGAGCCGATTCACCCACAGCCCAGGACAGTCTCTGGGAAGCACTCCTTTTGGTCTCTATCCAAGTACAACCTGATGTGGTGTGTCGACGTCTGCCGACGTGACGTCAGCTTTTTTCATGAACGTTTCATACACCGAGCCAAAGGGAGGCCTTTTAGAAGCTGGGAAATGAATCAGAACCTACCGCAGCTAGTCAAAGGAAAAAGGAAAAAGTCGACAAAACTCCCAGATGAGAGACTGACCAGTGGTGTCCCAGGCACGGTTCACCAGCCTGGGCACCTCCGTGGTGATTCTGTGTCTCCCCCTGACCTGGGAGGGCATTCCCCATGCACGTCCTTCCTCTGTGAGCCGGTGCCCAGGAGGAGGGGCCTTTGCAGGCCGGAGGTCTGGTGTTGGGCTTCAGTCCTTGGGCAGGATGTTTATCTCCTTGGGGTCACTGTGGCTTTATCAGTAAGCTCCATGCACAGTTTAAATTCAAGAGTTTCTAAGTGGATATATTAGTCTCCTAGAGTTTCTTTTGCATAAAACAAAAGAAATCTATTCTCTCACRGTTGTAGAGGCAGGGTCGTCCTCATCGCCACRCTCCCTGSTTTCTAGGRGAGAAGATGTCCTTRCCCCTTCTGGCTTCTGGTRGCCCCGGGCATTCCTGGGTCATAGCGTGGATGTGTGTCCCTCCAGTCTGTTCCTCCATGGTCATTCAGCCTTCGTCTCTGTGTCCTCTCCTGTTCTGACTAGGACACCAGTTGGGGGTCTTGCTCTGCTACATTGTCATAACACAGTACCATAGACTGGGTGGCTTAGACCACAGAAACGTGTGTCTCGCGGCTCTGGAGGCTGGAGTCTGAGGTTGAGGTGCAGCCTGCTCGTGTTCTGGTGAGGGCTCCCCTTCCTGGCTGGCAGATGATAGATGGCTGCCCTCTTGCTGTGTGCTCATGGGGCCCCCCATGACGATAACCTGGAAAGAGATCTCTTTCTCTTACTGCAAGATCTCTTTCTGTGATAAGGCCACCCATCTCATYAGAGCGCTACCCTTATGGCCTCTTTTAACCGTGATTATCTCCCCAAAGCCCTATCTCCAGAKAGTCACGTTGAGGGTTAGAACTTCAACAGATGAATCTGGCAGGGAAGGGGATCACCGTTGAGTCCATAAGACCAGTCCCCTAGTCCAGCATGCCCTTACCTGGCTAATTACATCTGCAAAGACTCTCTTTTCAAGTAAGGTCACATGCCGAGATTCTAAGTGGACATGGATTCTGAGGGGACATTGTTCAATCACTACAAGGGGTTGCAGTGAAAATAAGTGGCCCTTCCTCTCTGGATTCCCACAGACAGCCACTGACCAGCTTCTTAATTCTGCAAATATAAACAGAGGTGTATGTCAGAAGGSGATATTTTTCTGCATATGATGATGTATAGAGTACACAGAATCCTGTACTCCAGCCGTTTTCCTCGACTCTCTTTCCACATCTCTGTACATAGCTCTKCCAATCTGTCCTTCTAATGGGTGCACAGTACTCCGTGTGGGTATTTCCACAGTATAATGTGGTTAGCAGTGGACATTCAATTTGTTTCCAGCAAATAAATCAGCCTCTTCTTCCTTCTTTGTCCCCTGTCCCTCCACAGATGCCGCCCTGCAGGTGGACACAGTGGTCCCCAACGCCACGGTGTCCGAGAAGGCGGCYTTTCAGCTGGACTGTAGCATCGTGTCTCGCTCGAGCCAGGACTCCCGCTTTGCTGTGGCCTGGTATTCCCTGAGGACTAAAGCTGAAGGGAAAAGGGGCAGCCCTGGTCTGGAAGAACTAGAAGAGAAAACAGAGGAGGAGGAGGAAGAGGAGGAGGAAGGGGAAGAGGAGGACGAACCCACAGAACGCACTGTGCTGCTGCGGGTGGGCCCCGATGCTGTCTTTGGCCCAGAGGGCAGCCCTTGGGAGGGCCGGCTTCGCTTCCAGAGGCTCTCGCCCCTGCTTTACCGGCTCACGGTGCTGCAGGCCAGCCCCCACGACACGGGCAACTACTCCTGTCACGTGGAGGAGTGGCTGCCCAGCCCTCAGAAGGAGTGGTACCGGCTGACGGAGGAGGAGTCCGCCCCCATTGGCATTCGCGTGCTGGACACCAGTGAGTTTACTGAGGAAGGATGGGGGCTGTTGGTTCCAACTGTCCTGGAGATGCATACAGAGCTTGATTATGGGTTAATAAGCAGCTTTCCTACCTGTYGTGGGTGGGTATCAGGGTTGGAGATATGGCAGGATTGGACACGTAATTGTCATGTCATTGTCCCTGCAGTTGACCCTCAATTGCCCGTGCAAAAAAAAAAAAACAGTGGGGGGATCAGAATTAAAGTGATAATATGCCATCTCATCTTTATAATAAACTTAATGCTCCACCAGAGTCTATTCTAGGAAGATTTCATTGTGCATGTATATTGCTAAGATATTTACTTTGTTTCACTCTGGAATACTGAACCCAGTCTCTCTTGAGTGAAACAGCAAGTGTTTCAGACTCATTAAGAGAAAGGGAAAGAAGGAAGCCTGACTTCCTCACTGTCAATCATACTTTTTCTGGGTCACTTTTATTTCAGAGGATGACTTGGAGGTTTAGGTGGATTTTTGCGTGGTTAGTAGGAAAGGAAAGCCTCCTAAGGCAGGAATGTTACAGGAGAGTCAGGAGAAGCAAAGCTGCAGCCTGTTGCTGCAGAATGTTCCAGAACGAAATTTTCCTCATGCAGAGGGACTTTCACCCTCAACAAAGATTTCAGAAAGTTCTTGAGGGCCTGAGTTATTTGTTCTAACAAGGCACCCTTTTGATTGGCCTTCTGTCAAAACGTGGAACGTATCAGACTGAAAATAGTGTTTGCTATTGTAGAATCAGCCTATCCTGCAGAAATAAAAAAATTGGCTCGGATTTTCAACTTCTTTTCAATCAAAACATTTTACCCCATAATCTTGATTTGAGGTTTTGAGTTTTGTCAGCTCTTTCTTTGCCTCAGTCACCTCCTGTAAGCGCTGCATCAAATAGAACCCTATGAAATTGAGGTTTTTTTTGTAGGTCAAAAGTGGTTGACGATCAGCAGTTTCATATACTTTGGAAATCCAATAAGTGTAAATATTTGTTAATGTTTCTTAATCATCCTGATGAGCAGCAGCTGTGCAATGGAAGGAGAAACCGAAAAAGACCTAAATCGGGCTTCGCCTGCCGAATGGTCCACCGAATCACCCAGTGTCCAGACGAAAAGAGAAGATGTTTAGGCTACTTGTCATCTTCCCTTTGTGGACATCTATGGTTATGAGGCTTCCTAGAGCAAAGGATCCGGTACCCTGCTTTTACAGAGAAAGACGTAGATTTTTCTGAGGCCACCCCCCTCCGAGGTCCAATGCAATCCCTCCTCTGGGGCGCGGGTGTGCCTGGGCTCTCGCTGTTCCACGTCCAGCTGTAACTGCGTCTGTGCAGCCAGACACACTGGGCATTGTGAACGGTCCATAATGGCATTTTAATTGCTGACGTTAATCAAGCAGGCATCCTCTCTGGTACAACTCTTCTCAGAAGCGGGCCGGAAAGGATCCTGTTAAATTCCCTAAGAAGGAAGTTTAGCAGGACTGAGTGCAAGGGGGACATTTAAAATAGAACCCCCCAGGAGTCAGCTTCTTTACCAACCTAGACGCCGTTGTTTGCAATCGATAAGCTCCATTTTATTATAYGGCCTTCCAAGCCGAGGTAATGGATCTCAATGGAAAGTGGAAGCCCTGCGTTATCTGAAATTGCAGCTGTGGATTGGAAGAGGCGTGGTTATGAGGAAAAGGATACAAGGGCTCTCTCCTTTGGGAGCAGACCCATGGGGTAGCCGGGGAAAGGCAGGCGGGGGTGGGAGCTGCCCGGTAGCTTCTGCTGGGTTGGGTGAGGTCCTCGGGAGCCAAGGGTGGACACTCTGGGCTCTCAGTGCTCACTGCCCATCTCCCTCTCGTGTCCTTTTCAGGTTCCACCCTCCAGTCGCTCATCTGCTCCAACGACGCGCTCTTCTACTTCGTCTTCTTCTACCCTTTCCCCATCTTTGGCATCCTGGTCATCACCATCCTGCTGGTACGCTTCAAAAGCCGGAACTCCAGCAAGAACTCGGAGGGGAAGAACGGGGTGCCTCTGTTGTGGATCAAAGAGCCACACCTCAACTACTCCCCCACCTGCCTGGAGCCCCCTGTGCTGAGCATCCACCCAGGAGCCATAGACTAAGGGGGATCCGCAGGGGACATCGGCCACAGAGGGGCTGAGGCCCGCCCTTCCTGCCTCWTGCTCTGTGATTGGACAGTCGACAGCACCCAAACATGGGGGTGCCGGTGCAGAAAGCTGTCACCCTTGGAACGTGTTCAGAGCTCCGGGTCAGTCACCGAGCCGGACTGCCCCAGGCGGTGGTCTTGGTTGRTTAGCTATTTGCACCCAAATGTCGTGATCCTGCCATTATAGGTTTCTAGTTTTCGGTTTTGGTAATGTAGTGAGTAGCTCCAGGTGCCACATCTACTCACCGATTTATCTAGTATTCCCAGATAGAGTTACTCGGGGAGCGGGGGGTTCTGATTCTTTGTACTGTACTATTTTTAAACCACTTTGGTTTATCCCTTTTGGATTCCATAAGGTTGTGGACGAATTTCTCTTATATACAACCCATGGCAAGAGGAAAGGACCACTTTGTAGTAACAAGGAATCTCTTCCAAGACTTTTTGTTTTTTTTTTGCACATTTGAAAATGCCACCCRTGGATCAAAATACAACCCAAACATTTTTTTACTTTCTTAACGAGACTTGAAAAATATGGGTAGCGTGGGCCCAATTTGTATCTTATCTTTTCCCTCATCTGGAGTTGTTGGAACCACTTTGTAGTCAAGATGAAAGCATTGAATTTTGCTTCAAAGAACTGCATATGTGCAAGAGAAATCCTGCACAACCCCATTAGGAGTAGATGGTGCCTGGCCAGCCTAATCTGTCAGGGAGGCAAAAAGGCTTCATCCTATCCTTGCCAAAAAAAAAGAAAAAAAATAAGAACACTGTSTTGGAGAATGGAAGTTCCAAACAGCACATGCTTTCTGAGCTGCAGTGGGGCAGGGCGCTGCTTTTGGCAGCTACTGACTCTCCCCTTGATCAAAGCCAGTGACTAGAGAGAAGGAAGGAAAAAACAGCTGGCTGTTGGCTTGATCCATTCTGCATGGGCAGCTCCAGCTGATAATGGTGACAGGTGGCTTTTGTTTGCAGGTACTTTGCCAAACTTGAGGGAAAGTTGGAAGCAGGACCACCCTGAGGTCAGCCCAGAGGCTGAAGCAGCGGCCATCTGTACCCCATGGAGGGCCCTGGGCCAGCAAGCACAGTGAGGGAGGATGGGAGGGGGCTTCCAGGGCCTGATGCTGAAGGGCCTTGAGGAATATCTGCCTCCCTGGAGGTTTTTCTTGTTCTTCCAATGAGATTTTCCTTAGAGATATTCAAGTCTTCCTCATTCACCATTTCTGTCTCCCCATGTCACTGCTGGAAGACTGCCAGCCTTGGGGACGGACGTCCAGACATGGCCCTTGGTAACCCTTTCCATTCACCTGGTCTCAGCAGACAATAAGCACATGTGTTGTTTTGCCCTCCCCCCTCCCGTTTTTGGATATTTTTTTTTTTTGGTGGTTTTAGGTTATTTGGTTGGTATGGTGATTTTTTTTATTTTAATGCTCCCAAGGGCTAGTGTCACCGTATGCTGGGCCARTTGCCAAGGTCCCCTGGAGCATCATCAGTTGCAGATACTTCCCTGTGCTCACTCTGTGAAGATGTCTGTATACCCTGCTTCCCCATTATTTTTTGCTGGCCAAGTGTGCCATGTCCTTTTCCCTAGGAACTTGTACCTGGAATTACAAAGGGAGCCCCATTTGGAAGAAGGCACCTGGGATTCCAGAACTCAGTCTAACAAAAGAGATTCCTGTGAAGCCCAGTCCTGAGAATGTACCGACTCCAGGGAAGGCTGTGAGATTCCCCAGGCCACTCGGGCACGGATCCGTGCCCGGGGTCTGCAGGTGGCCCAGGCAGGGTGGGCCGTTAAGTGGACGCTGGCTGAGAGCAAGATGACTGCTCCACCATTTTCTGAGAAAGGCAGACCTGTCTTTTTTCTGCCCGAAGCTCCAGCTCTGTCCTCTGAGACAGGGTGTAGGCACTGCCACCTTAATCCCACGGATGCCTACTATGCTGATTCCCACTTATTATGCTGCATCAACATGTTAGAGGTACCGAATTGGCTCAGTCATGAAGAAAGAATGTCTTTTGCCCTGTTTCTTCATTTCAGGGGGTGTGGGCTTTCTGTGGAAACTGCTGACTCCTGATGTTTAGGCTGAGTCAACAAGGGGAGATGACTGACTTTTCCTTTGTCTGAAGGGAAAGATGCCAGAGGGCTGGCCAGGACTAAGATTTCAGTTTGAATTGGTTCATAGCAGTAGAAAAGTAGGTGCTGCACGTAATTAAATATGTGAAGCCAATGCAGGAAAATCGAAATGAAAAAAGAAACCGAAGCCAGTATTTTAATAATTGCTTTTTCTGTGTATTTTCTACTGGGCTAGGGGATTCCATCAAAGGTTGAGCTTTTTGAGCTTTGTATGGAAAAAAAAGAAAAAAAACCCAAAAACCCCAGGACCTTCTTTCTTTGGCCATTTCTATGGAAATGTGGTATCAGATGAATGGTAATGGTGCCCTCTAGTGGCTGCAAGACTTCATTGCACATTGTCCACTGGAGCTCAAGTCTTCTGAGTTCAAGAGAGGAAACGTGCTGGACTCTCTCCACTTACCTACGTCTACAATGTTGCATTTATGAAAAACTACACTGTGCTAGGCGCATCCCAGGACATGGATATAACCACACCCTCTTTCACCAGGGTGTTTCTGTAGCAAGTTTTCATATTCTTTTCAAACAATGGTTTCTCTGCGTTCATTGTTGAAGAAAATGAAAAAAAAAAAAAAAAAAAAAAGAGATGGGGTAAGGAAACTACCCATGCATGATGTAGAGGGCTGTTGATTTTGTTTTGTTTTGTTTTGTTTTGTTTTTTTTAAAAGGAAAACTATTTGTAAGATGTTGCACTAAAACATTTTATATACACTTCAGAGACCTGTAGTAAATTATGTTGACCATACGGCTGTTTACATTTTCTGGAGTTGGCTGTCTCCTTCCTCTCTCCCTTAACCAACCACTTTTTCCCGTGGAACTGTGATGGGGGGACCCAGAGTTCTGCCCTTGGCATTGGCCTGCTAGGCTCAAGGTCCGTGAATTGCAGTCTTTGTGATCGTGCTACATCCCAACCTAAATGATGCTTTTGTACAGACAATTAAAAAAAAAAAAAGTCTCTCCCAGAAATTCGCTCAAAACACCCATTGTCATCTGCTGAAATGTATCATAAATATGCACGTCTGCCTTGACCATCAGTGCATGGTGCCCCTAGAGCTGTGAACACATGGCACAGCTGGACCCTGCCAGGCAGGGGCAGAATGTAGAACTTATGGGATTTTTTTTTCCTTTAATCTTGGTGGGGGAAGGTAGGGTGAGAGGGAGCTGATGAGAAGGAGGGGAAAAAGGTGGGACCACCCTCCTGGACCACCAGGGCCTCTGCAGCAGCAAGACCACACCCACCTCCTCAAAGTGTCTAGCGTACCGTGGCCAGGGAATTGTCAGCAAGAATTTTCCAGGTGCAGGGAAGGGCAGGAGCTGGATGTTCCCTATTGAGCAAGACCACACAGCACACCAGTGTCTTTTCCCCACACAAACTTAAATGCTGCTCGGAGCTCACCACCTGTGCAAATTGAGAAGCGGGTCGGGATGATTAAGACCAAGGTGTGATTTGTGGTTCGTTGGAGCTCACCATGATTCATTAAAATTCATAGAACAGGCAGAGGGTAAAGAGCAGCTTCTCTCGTCTTTTTCTAAGTCCATACTTGGCAAGGCTTTGCTGGATCCTTTGCCCTGCTCCCCAGCCCTGTCTGCTGGGTCCTTATCAACTTGCAAAGCTGGCGTGGCCACAGGCTGAGAATGGGACTGTTCATTCCTGGGGTACCAGGGATGGCCTCCTTATAAGTCTTGGGTGTTATTTTTGCCTGATCCCTGCCCCATGCTCTCTTTATGTAGGAATTGAATAGGAGAAGGGGAAATAGAATATTATGGAACAAAAGAACACCTTTATGCCCTTTCTGAAAATCCACCAAGCATTTCTATAAACGAAGTCAACGTAGGCCTCCCAGTAAGTGTATGATGAAGTGGCAGGTGAGGGGCAGCATCTTGCTCTCTCTGTTCTGGGATTCCTATGTTTTGTAGGAGTGATTCCCAGAGTTTGGAAGGAACTAGATCCGGAGCATCAGAGTGRTGTGTGCGGAAGAGCCGTCTCCACCTCCTGAGCAGGCTTGTCCCTTTYTTCTTGCCCACGATCCTTGACAAGATGATAAAACCGGACCTCACAACACCAGGCACAGGATGCTTCCAAAGATCTAGAAACTCTTGTGATGCCAAACTTTCAGTGTGTAAAGGGGCTGTCTTTCTGGACCGTGATTTGTGAAGTCTGATGGGCCAGGCATACAAGCACTTCCAAAATGCCTGGAGACGCATAATGACAGCTGGCACTGCTTGTGGGTCAGAGTCTAACCCAGAGAGGCCTGTGAGTCATGCCTGGCCCAAGGCCCGGAGACCAGGCCTGGGGTACTCCCCAGCACAAGTGACTGGGCAGTAAAGTGACTTGACTTTGAAGGGTTGACAGCTCTTTGTGGTGAGTCCAATATCCCCTTTATCACAGACCAAGCCTGTGGGAAGGGCAGGAGGAGAGGCTTTGGACTTGACCTGTGTTGGAGTCCCAGTTCTGCCTCTGCATGTCATTAGACACGTTATTTACCTTTACCCAGTCACAAGTTCCTCAAGTACTGAAATGAAACAGTGGCGATGTTAAAGCAATCCATGTAATGCACGGTGTAATGCAGGGCCTGGCGCATAATGAGTGTTCAACCGATGTGTGCTGTTCTCTCATTTCCCAGCGCAAAAACTCCCCAGTTCCTGAGGGACGGACCCACTTTTCCTACTTTCCAAGTTGGCCCGAGTTCCTCACAGTCCAGAGCAGAGGAGAAACTTGACTCCTCACTTTTTGTGCTGTATCCCGCACCTTGTATCCCAACAAGCCTGATGTGGTGGCACACACCTGTCATCCCCAGCAGCTTGGGAGGCTGAGGCAGGAGGATTGCAAGTTCAAAGCCAGCCTCAGCAGTTTAGCAAGACCTAAACAACTCAGCGAGATCCTGGGTCAAAATATTTGAAAAGGGCTGGGGGTGTGGCTAAGTGGTGAAGTGCCCCTGGGCTCAATCCCCAGAACAACAACAACAAAAAAAAAGAATCTGAAGACAGCCAGGCACAGTGGTGTACACCTGTAATCCCAGCAGTCTGGGAAGCTGAAACAGGAGGATCACAAGTTCAAAGCCAGCCTCAGCAACCTGGTGAGGTCCTGGGCAACTTAGTGAGATAGGGTTTGCTCTTTCTTAGGGTGTCTGAGTCCTGTTGGGAGGAATAGAATCTTGCTCACATGATAATAAGAGTTCTCTGAACTTGGCTCTCTCAGTAGCACATATCTGTAATTTCAGCAATTCAGGAAGCTGAGGCAAGAGGGTCGCAAGTTCAAAGCCAGTCTCAGCAATTTAGAGAGGCCCCGTCTCTTAACAAAATACAGAAAGGATGGGGAATGTGGCTCAGTGGTTAGGTGCCCCTGGGTTCAATCTGTGGTACCCCCCACTAAAAAAAAAAGAGTTCTCTTAACTCCCTCAGCRAGGCAGAGCCAACCCTGTTGCTTGTCTCCAAGGACAAGAACAGGGAAGGAAGCTGATGTGAGACTGGCTTAACACGGTTTTTCCTGCCATTGCCCCTCAGCTCCTTCTGTCCCTGTCAGTTTAGGGGAAGGGCAAGCCAATCACCACGAGGCCAGTAGAGGGGGAGGTCTAAGTGCCTACTGCAGCTTGGGATGGGTGGATTTGGGGAGGCCAAGTCCTAAGGGAAACAGCGATCTGCCTCAGTCTGAGGGAATGGCCAGGGTTGAGATGCAGGAAGAGAGGAGACCAAAGAGGGAAGAGAAGGGAAAAATCAAGACTGATAATCCCAGCCGCTAGTGTAGGGGGACACCCAGTAACCCACAGGTAACCCTACAGTTGTCCCAAATGTCCCCTCCTTTTTAATTTAAGGAAAGACCAGTTCAAAGAGGTTGTCTCCAGGGTCCTTTTGCAGAGTAAGTGGCAGGAAAAGCTAGCACCAAGCTGCTCCTTCTGCTAGAAAGTGCTAGAGGGATGCAGGGCTTGGTACCTTGCGGTCACCCCAGGGTAMCAGTGAGTGGGGCCCAGCTTTCTGGGAGCGACAGCTCCACCCCAGCCATCCCGCTTGAGTTGCCACCACCACGTCTCCACTGCTAAAAAGGAGCGCTGAAGATGTGGAAGGAGCCGTTAATCCATGTGGGTAAAATGCTGGTGGATCGAGTGGCATCAGGAAGGACCAAGCAAGAGAAAAGGAAGG